GCACGAGGCCTTTAATGAAAAAAACTTAAAGAGGGCTGACAATGCAGCAAAACTCACTTGGCTTTGAAAACTGAACTTGGAACATGAGACATGAGACGTGACATGAGAAGTACACACAGTGATCCAATGCCAGACAGTGACAAGACAGAGCTTAAATACACAGAAACTAATCAGGGAACTTGAAAACACCTGGGGAGGAACACGAGGAAAATCAGCAGACTGAGGCGGGGCAGGTACGCTGACAGTACCTCTTAACGATCGTCTCCAGTTGATCATCAAGGAGAGGCGGGACAAAACAGACTAGAAGACAAAACATAAAAGTTCAGGAGGACGGCCCGGAAACCATCCAACATGGGACAAGAGTTCAGGGGGACGGCCCAGAAACCATCCCCAGTGAGGCCTAGCAGGAGCAGACATAGAACTGCAGGAGGAGGCGATGAGCGATGACCCAAGAGACCTCGGGACCACCTACTGTGAGACCACCGATTGTGGACACTCTGGATTCCCTGCAGGCTCTGGACACCCTGCAGGCTCTGACGACTCTGGTGACTCAGACAACTCAGACGACTCTGTAGCAGGAACGGCCGGTTCGGATCGCAACGGCCCGCCAACAACTGGCACAGGAGACACCGAAGGGGTGGGAGGGTGGATGCACGAAGGCTGAGCCAGAACTCTCCGTACAAACTGGTGGAGCTACTGATGTCTGGGCAGAAGCAGCAGCTCGGGGCTACCCACCAAAAAAACGCTCCATTTGCCGGCATAAGAGCTGTTTGTCTTCCAGTGTGGAAGACCATTTGAGGATCCTCAACGAACCTCTGATGACAGGAGATGTCACCTCGTCCTCCCCAGGTGGCAAAACCGAGACTAGCTCCTCTGAGGCAGGGAGAGGGCGACCAGCTGCTGGGGATTCAGGTGACGCCGGCGAACTCTGGAGGTGAGAGGAGGACTGGTGCACCACGGGGCGGCAAGAAAAAAACATCCGGCTCCACTCGAAAAAAAAAAACGTGAACAGGGCGCCTGTGGGCTGGGTATGTGGTTGGATCATTCTGTCAAGACCGGCAAAATGACCCAGGGGACAGGCAGGTTAAAAAAAACTAAAGCGCATGAGGCCTTTAATGAAAAAACTTAAACAAGGCTGACAATGCAGCAAAACTCACTTGGCTTGAAAACTGAAGACAAGACAAGACCAGACCAGACCAGACCAGACAGCGATCCAACACCAGACAGTGACAAGACAGAGCTTAAATACACAGAAACTAATCAGGGAACTTGAAAACACCTGGGGAGGAACACGAGGGTAATCAGCAGACTGAGGCGGGGCAGCTGCGCTGAGAAAACAGGAGGGAACATAGAAACACTAGGATAAACAAAGCATAAAATGAGACTATGGCACTGCTGACTCTATCCATTTTAAGTTTTCCCCTTTCCACAAAACCTAAGTTTTCATGTGTTTTATAGTACAGCCATTTTCCAAGTAGTATGCTTTAAAAGTTCGAGTTTATTCAGATTTATTGTATTCTGTGGACAAAAG